GGAAAGGGGGGTGGGAGGAGGGGGGGGGGGGACGGAACAGAAAGGGACTTTCACAATTTGGGAAACTAGATCACCTAAGACCCACCATGGTTGGTGCTGAGGTAAGAACTTTATGATCATGACACCTCTAGATGGCCGGAAATGGCACTCTCAGATCTAAATTCTAATTATAGTTTTCCTTTTTTCCCCATTTTTTTTTTAATTTTGAAAAATTTAGGTCGGCTCGGCCCCACTTGAATCCGCCACTGATTATTATGACGTCATTGCGAGATTGCGTCAACATAACAATGGAGTTTGTATTTGTGGTATCATAAATAAATCGAAATAGACCTATCCGTGTCAAAGGCTTTATATATTACTGTTTAATAACGGCTATATAAAATTCAATTGACTAACTATATTTGTGTTGAAATTTAAAAAAAAACAGTAATCTATGAATGCAGATAATAATAAACACTAGTATATGCGTACGGGTCACAATAATATACAAAAGTAATAAATTGTTTATTGGCCTTTTTTGGCCTAATAAGTGTACACACTTCCAATTTTAACAACGTACAGTACATTTTTTTCACAATAAATTTAGCCTCTAATAACTGTTAGTGAATCGATGTAGTGAGATGGTTACGACATGTACAAACTATTGCGTTTTTACTTTGTTTTGGTCCGGAAATACGCACCGCACTTTGAAAAGTGAGCAGACAAAATCATGAGAGTCATGCGTAATTGTTATTTTTCCATTCGCTTTGAAAAGTTGGGTTTTAATTATAGAAGATTGGTGAAAAGTGGGGGAACAATTTATATGATGTCCCCCCTACTTTGAAAAGTGGGGGGACGTGTTCCCCTGTCCCCCACCGATCGAGGCCCATGAGAACATGGCCAAGATGCCACACGGAGACGTCACCATATCAAAATGATGTCATCACTCCGTATCAACCATGATGAAATACTAATCGCTTCGGAAGTGATTGTTTTAAGCATACATTTCTGAAATGAGTAGCGGCCAGACGTACAGTATTTCCGGTATGAGCGCGTCCGGTATAGTAAGCTTAATACGGAGCAGGACCTATTACGGTCATCGCATGACCCATAATTTTCATATCTAAATCCAATGGCTGGGCTGTGATACCCTCCGTATTGTGAGAACCAGAGTAAAGAACCTGGTAACGGAAGATTTAAACAATTGAAGGTACTTGCATTATTATATCTTGTACAGATATAACGCACTGATAGTCATGCAATGATGAGTTGTATGCAAAACGCATTTATTTATAGGTCTATTTCATTTAATTTAATTTCATTCTTTATTTCGGAAATTGCATATCCATATCTATAATCGGTTTAAGCATATAATAATAACAACAAACAAAAATCCCTAACGACTAAACTGTAATTTCTATCGCAATAATACATATATATGAAAAAATGAGTATTGCGTATATTATACTTATGCATACAAAATACCACTCCATCTGTTATAATTTTTATATAAAATTTTATTTCATATTTTTATTGTATTCAACTCTTTTACAGTAATGAGTGCGATATCATCCTAAGATAGGCTTTAACAAAAAGAAAGTAAGCTTAAAAAAAATGTGTAAGCTTAAAAAAAATGTGTAAGAACATAAAAACGAAAACCCCCACAAAGAGAAAAAAAATTGAATGTCATGTCATGCAGTGCCAGTTGATCTAACTGGTGACCTGTAGCACCACAGGCATCTTTACAATTTATGACGTCATTGCACACAGTCGATTATCTAATACAATTTATTACACAGTAGTCCGAGTCAAAACATGGGCCTAGTCAACAGGAAAGTTGTGATCCGTAACTACCCTCTTGTGCAAAGAAGAATTAGGCCTAGCTGGTTTTGGACGAACCACTATCAAACCTAAACAGGGACTTTCTCAACAACCCAAAGACGTCATGTTGGGACCTCAGAGCAAGGAGTTTACTTATGTCATGATATTACATAGCCGACCAGCACGTCGATTAATATTGGTATGCCTATCTATATAGGCCTAAACATAATGGATATAAGCGAATACGCACGCCCATACTACTTTAATGTGTACGAATAATCACACGTTCAACGTGGATTATGTAATACAAGGCTATTGACTATAAACGGAAACTAAGCTTGACTATTTTCCTATTTCAACATTTTATGGTTTACAGGGGAAATCGTCATGAACGGACAGATTCGGTACGACGAGTAGTAAAATATCTTGTCAACAGAATCTAAAAGGCTCGCATGCCAGCATATCTGGATATTATATCGCCATGGGTTGCTGTTGTAGTAATGACTCTGAATCAGAAACCTTAGAGAAATCAGTTGGCGCAAAACACGATGAATCTTATGAAAACCCACTGATGTATGATAGAAAAAGACCTCCGACATACGGTGCTACGTCTGCGACTGAATACGACGAGCGTAGATCGTTGACTGCCGACGAAGAATCTTCGCCGACGACAAAGCCAGACGAGAATGCTATTCACGAATTGCAAAGAAAAAAAGTAAAAACCACTTCCAAAAAATGGAAGCAGAAATTGAAGGGAGGTCAGAAGCTTTTAAAGAAAAAGGATAATAAATATCAATCTAAAGAAACATCGGGTAAGTAGATACCGTAAATCATCGAATAAAAGCTCTGGGCTTCTTGTTCAGAACCCTTAGATGGGCTTCTTCTTTTTCAGGGCCCTAAATGGGCTTCTTTTCGAAATGGGCTTCTTTACGAGATTGCTTTTCAAAATGAATGCTGTAAATACGTGGAATTGCTAATACTGTCGACATTGTTCAACAAAAAAACTTTTAACCATAGGCCTACTAAACAATAAAATAATATTGGTACTGACACGCTATCACAGTCATCAAAAATCGTCAGTCTAAGTGGAAGTAACTCGAAAAGAAGCTCATACTATCTTGATTAAAAGCCCAGAGGCTTCTTTTCGAGATGGGCTACTTCTCTATATTAATCTCAATGGGCCTATAGAACAAATACATGCCCCAACCCTCCGCTTGAAGAATTCTTGATCTGCCCTTGGATGTTGGTAGATTTTGAAGATTTCGTTTTCATTTTTAAATTCAGAAAACCAAGTTTACCAGTCGAAGAAGAAACCCACCCTTTTGAGTTATCAAGATATCACCACTATAAGAGAAAAAGAAAAACAAAAGAGAGGTAGGACATCTATTCCTTTCGATTAACTTTTTAAGCTCTAGGCCCTATGCCTGCAAAGCAAAGCAAAACAACATTGGTCTATAGGATATTGATCAATGCAAACACAAACATGTGCAAAATTCAGCCTGTATTATATTACAGACCGTCACAATCGATTGATCAATCAATTTATCAATCAAGCAAAAAAGCAACCAATCAATCGATCGATCGATCATTCAGCCAGTCAATATGTCAGTATATCAATCAACCAATATATCAATCAAGATTATACTACAGCCACTACTAACATTACCCTCCGCGATTGTCCAATTTCCAATAACAATAATGTAATTTTAGACCTATGTTTACTTTCCTTTTAGCACAGATCAGAACCAAAGATTTAGAAGCCAAAAAAGCGAAGGAAGGGATGTCGGAAGCTTTACAGGTACGTACAAATGATCTCAGAAGATATCTAACGGTAATTTACATTGGGGCATCAGATACACATGAAACTAAAGTAATGGCAAGTTATCAGCAGCATAGGCCTACACTAAATATTTAACAAAAGTGTTACAATGCCTTTACTTATCAGAGCCACTATATTTTAGGGCTCAAAGGTCGAAGAATGCACAGACATTGTAGACTTAAATAGGTTTATTGACCGTTAAAGTACTGTATTTACACATGCGTAAATAAACTTGTGGCATTCATTTTTATCTGAATACTAAGTATGCTCATGAGTAATAGAACATAGGGCCTATAGGATATATTATAGGCATAGGCCAGAGCAAATTGGGCGTGGTCGGACGTCTCTCAAAATATTTCTTTCCCGACAGGGATGGGGGTTATGGGCCCCCGACGAGGGCCCTGGTGCCACCCCTGGTAAAGTAGATGTGTGTGACAGTGAACAAGTTTCTCTAGTACAGTATATACATCTGCGATGTATTTTTCCTTTTTTCTTTTAAAATAGAATGCACACGAGAGGGGTGAAAAGCTAGATAAACTTCAAGACAAGACTGCTGACTTAAGAGCGCATTCAGAAAGTTTTGCTGAGAACGCGCGAAAGATACTAGAACAAGAAGAACAGAAACATCTGGCTAAGAAAACTAAACAACATAACACGTGACACTCGGCTGATATTGACAGTGTCCACGTGAATTAAAACACAATGATGAGCATAACAGAGTTCAACAACGGAAACCACCACTGTAGCCAACAACTCATAAATTGGTAAATTCTACGAATGGGAAGTGACAAATATTATGGAATAGACCTACATTGGAAGGATAAACACAATATTCGTCCGTTCCAGAATTTATAATAATTAAGTTCTTAGCGTTCTAATAACTTATGCATTGCTACATTTACTTGATCAAAGAAAGTTAAATGTTGCTACCACTTAACTTTTTTCTACATGGCGACCCTACAGTGGACTACGGTATCTCTGAACGGATTACCATTCAATTAAAAAATACTGCGCCTTCAGGATGAGTTATTATTTTATACCTGGCCACTTACTCTGCATACTCCGACGCGAAACCCCACATATAAATGTAGGAAATTATCTGCAGACCTCTCAAAACTACATACAGTATCATAAAATGCTGCATGTAGAGGGAGGTATTCAAACATCCATCGGACTCAATTGCTCGCTATGTATGTAATATCCAATAATAGTTTATATACGTGGTTTAATATAATTACATAAACTCGAATACAGTACTTGAATACTAACGCTTTAAGGAAGTCTCTCAAATCTGTACTTTTTCAGAGCCAGGGTTTCATTCCTGGCCCACATCGAAGTATGCTCTCAACCCTCAAATTGTAGGTGTCCTCCCATGCATTTTAAATATCGTGCTTACCATACATTATTATTAGGCAGTCCTTGCCAACAAATAATTTCTGTCTATATTGCCTGGCATCGATTATTAATTAGGCCAACTTGTGTGCGACGTAACTTTCTGTGTGCTGCCACCGATGTAAAGGTGAAATGTAAATAAATGAATGAATATATAAATGAATAAATAAATAAATAATAGGGTAATAATAATAATTTATCATCATCATCATTATACAATAACTATTATTATTTTTCTGTGTGCCTCAGGAAATGTAATCATTGGCCAAACCATGTGATGTATGATGGAGAAAGTTCATCTCTACATC